GACAGCCGAGGCTGTCGTGCACATTGCTGGATCTCGATGGGGCTCAGGTAAGTATTGAGGGGGCTGGGGGCACTGCTGCACACAGAAGGTTTTTTGACTTCATGCATAGAATGCATGAAGGTAAAAAACCTTGAGCCTTTAAAACCACTTTAACCTCATGACCTCGCAAGGGACATTCTGCTTCAAGATTCACCATTGCTCCCAAGAGTTTAAGCATTCTGACAGCAAGCTTATGTTGCCCAGCTTTGTAAAGTCACTACCTAGTCTTCTGTTTCTACCATTCCCAGGTTTTACCAGGTGAATGTCCAGTGCAGGTTTTGGCCACAAGATACCCTCAACAGCACTTGGTTGGGGATGTCCATGGGTCTATGTATATTAAGCCTGTGTCCTGTACTGTACAATTAAGATATGGAATTTACAGCCAAGTAAAAACTATTTTTTTCCCTGCCACTGTTTGAATTCCTTGAAAACATTATGGCACTCCTAAAACGTTTCAGTTTCCATGGGCCAAAAACGCTTCACTTCTCCTCCCCCATGACTACATTCATGAAGCAGAGCTAGAACCTTCCAACCTGTTTGAGAATAAAATGGAGGAACGCAATGTGGATATAGATATTGTAGTGGAAGCTGCAAAGGATTTTAAAAACCCTGTATTTTATGAACCACAAGCTATGGCTTTTTGACAAATCCACTCCACAGTGGACATATTGATTGAAGTGGTGCAAAAAAGTCTTTGTCTACCAGCACCTGATACTCAATGACCAAAACAAGCCTCTATGGGCACTAAGTAAGCAAGCAAAATAAAAAAGACTTTTTCCATGCACCCACAAAAGTACACTACATGAGGTTTGGTCTAATCCTAATTTTCTCACTGTATCCGGCTCTTCACCCCCACCCCCCCTAAGGATCGCAGTGATCTACAGGCCTCCCGGATCCATACCCCGCTTCCTGGATGACTTCGCCACCTGGCTTCCCTTCTTCCTCTCCTCTGAGCTACCAACCATCATCCTCGGGGACTTCAATATCCCCATCAACGACAACAGCCCGGCTACTTCCCAACTCCTCCACCTAACCTCCTCCTTCGCGCTCACACAGCACACTCAATCCTCCACCCACACCATTGGGAACACCCTGGACCTCGTCTTCTCCCACCTCTGTACCCTCAACCAGTTCTCTAACACCCCCTTCCCTCTCTCCGACCACCACCTCCTCACGTTCTCCATCTCCCCTTCCCCTAACTCCCCCCCCCCCAGAGCGCCAAACCATCACCAGCCGCAACCTGAACCCGGCCCCCCTCCACTCAGCTGCCGACCGCCTACACGACAGCATCCTTCCACTATTATGTCCTGACCTAGCCACTAACACGTACAACGACGACTCACTATCAGCTACCCTAGACTCTCTGCCACCCCTAACCACACGCTACATCAAACCCAGACCGCTCCAACCATGGCAGAACGACCACACTAAATGCCTCAAACGTCGCAGTCGCGCGCTAGAGAGACTATGGCACAAAACCAGGTCCCCCCGTGCATTCTCCCTCTACAGATCTGCCTTCCTAACTTACACCTCCCTCCACGCCACCAAGCAGGCTTACTTCGTAAACCTGATCAACACCCTCTCCTCCTGCCCTCGCCGACTCTTCTCCACCTTCAACTCCCTACTCTCTCCCCCCCCCCTCCTCCACTCAGTACCTCACTCACCGCCCACGAAATTGCCACTCATTTCCACAACAAGATTGATGCAATCCGTCAGGACATAGTCAACTCGCAATCTACCTCCCCACCTAGCCCCCCCCCCCTATCTCCCCCTCATCTCTTCCCTCCTCTGACCTCGCAACCGCACTGCCCCCCCCACACCCAAGACCCCGCTTACCGTAACCCCCCCAGCTCTGCACTCCTTCAGCCCCGCTACCACTGAGGAAGTCACCAGGGTCTTCTCAGAAGCCCGCCTCACTGCCTGCCCCCTGGACCCTATCCCCCCTTGACTCCTCCAGTCACCCCCCTCTTCCCTCATCTGCTCCCTCACCCACATCTTCAATCTCTCCCTCTCTACCGGCGTATTCCCCTCCCCCCTAAAGCATGCGCACATCACCCCCATACTCAAAAAGCCCTCCCTGGACCCCTCTGACTTAAACAACCTCAGACCCATCTCTCTGCTGCCACTCACTTCCAAACTCCTGGAGCGCTTAGTCTACGACCGCCTAAGTGCCCACCTAACTGACAACAACCTCCTTGATCCACTACAGTCCGGCTTCCGTCCCCTACACTCCACCGAAACGGCCCTCCTCAAAATCACCAATGACCTACTAACCGCCAAAGCCAAAGGCGACTACTCTGTCCTCCTCCTCCTGGACCTCTCCGCAGCCTTCGACACAGTTGACCACCCCCTCCTCCTTAATAAACTACTCTCCCTTGGCATCAGAGACACCGCTCTCTCTTGGTTCTCCTCTTACCTATCCCGACGCTCCTTCAGCGTTTCCTACAATGGTGCCACCTCCCCTTCCCTCCCCCTCTCTGTTGGGGTCCCCCAGGGCTCTGTCCTTGGACCCCTTCTCTTCTCCATCTACACCTCCTCCCTTGGCAAACTCATACACTCCCATGGCTTCAACTACCACCTCTATGCTGATGACACTCAAATTTACCTCTCCACCCCCCACCTCACCTCCACTTTCTCCGCCCGCATCACTCACCTCCTAAACGACATCTCTGACTGGATGTCACTCCATTTCCTCAAGCTTAACCTCTCCAAAACCGAGCTTCTCGTCTTCCCTCCTGCCTGCGCCCCCCCCCCCCCCCATCCTATCCATCACTACTAACATCACCACCATCAATCCCGCCCCGCAAGCCAAAGTCCTTGGAGTCATTCTGGACTCTAACCTCTCCTTCCAACCTCATGTCAAATCACTTACAAACACATGCAGGCTCCACCTCCGCAATATCGTCAAAATACGCACCTTCCTTACCCCAGACACCACTAAACTACTCATACACTCCCTGATTATCTCACGCCTTGACTACTGCAACTCCCTCCTCACGGCCTACCCCAGTGCAGGCTCTCCCCGCTTCAGACCATCCTGAACTCAGCGGCTAGACTCATCCACCTCACACCCGCTCCACCTCTGCCACCCCCCTCTGCCTATCCCTCCACTGGCTCCCTATCGCCCAACGCATCAAATTCAAACTACTCACTCTGACCTACAAAGCCGTTCACAACACTGCCCCTAACTACCTCACCAACCTGATTCCCAAGTACCACCCTACCCGTACCCTTCGCTCTTCACAGGACCTCCTTCTATCTTGCTCCCTGGTCTCCTCCTCACACGCACGTCTGCAAGACTTCTCCAGGTCCTCCCCCATCCTCTGGAACTCACTACCCCAATCCATCAGACTGTCACCTTCCCTCCTCACCTTCAGGCGCTCCCTGAAAACCCACCTCTTCAGGGAAGCCTACCCCACCCTCACCTAACTGCTGCTCTCCTTCATTCCTCCTACCATTCCATCCCCCACAGCCACTTCCTCCTGTACCACTACCCCCTCCCTCCTAGATTGTAAGCTCGAAAGAGTAGGGCCCTATAACCCCTCGTGTGCTGTTTGTAGTTGCTGTAATGTTTCATGTATTGTCCCCCCCTCTATTGTACAGCGCTGAGCAAACCCTTTGGCGCTATATAAACTCGACGTAATAATAATAATAATAATAATTCTGAGAGGATATTCACTCCTCCTAAACCTTTTGCTGAAATTTAAAAGAAACTTATTGCGAAAAGAAATTTAAGAAAAAAATGGGTTGTTCTGGTACTAAAAATTGCCATTTCAGTCCTCAAATAACACCTTACATTTCCTATTGAGGAAGTTCCCTCTCTTGATAGGTGTTTTGAAGGCCTCTTAAAGGCTTCCTTTGAAGTTGCAAATCCAGTCCTGCAGCTGGCAATTACTACCATATTTTATTTGCCAAACTATTGCTAACTGGATAAGACAAATTAATAGAAAATATGAACCTGTTTTTGATGACCCCGTTCTTTTACAATTGCTTATGTCTTTTTTTTTTTTTTTGCTTTCATTTTAAGTAACCCTAATATAAAACTACTATTGTTGAAAACATTCACAATCTAACACTGCAAACTGTTTTCTGATCAAAGCGATCAATTTTTTGGGTCAATACATTTTCAAAGAAAGGGCGTTTGTTGTCATGTCATAGTATGAGAAAAAAGGACCGTAAATAAAATCTAATATGTACACCTTTGTTTCTAAAACTATATATTTCCCCCATAACTTGGAAAAATCAGGCAAAGTTGGTAAAAGTTTAATTTGGTATTCAGACAAATTAAAAAAAAAATCAGAATAAAAAAAAACACTGTTCCTTGTCTTTTACATTTTTATGTCGTCAAAATAAACAGAAAATCACTTTTTTCCTAATTTTCACTATTTTTTCTCATTACTAAAAAAAAAATACACTATATTGCCAAAAGTATTTGGACACTTGCCTTTACATGCACATGAACTGTAATGGCATCCCAGTCTTAGCCCGTAGGGTTCAATATTGAGTTGGCCCACCCTTTGCAGTTATAACAGCTTCAACTTTTCTGGGAAGGCTGTCCACAAGGTTTAGGAGCGTATATATGGGGATGTTTGACCATTGTTCCAGAAGCACAGTCGTGAGGTCAGGCACTGATGTCAGATGAGAAGGCCTGGCTCTGTCTCCGCTCTGATTCATCCCAAAGGTGTTCATTTGGGTTGAGGTCAGTTGTGCAGGCCAGTCAAGTTCCTCCACCCCAAACTCGCTCATCCATGTCTTTATGGACCTTGCTTTGTGCACTGGTGCGCAGTCATGTTGGAACAGGAAGGGGTCATTCCCAAACTGTTCCCACAAAGTTGGGAGCATAAAACTATCCAAAATGTTTTGGTACACTGACGCCTTAAGAGTTCCCTTCACTGGAACTATGAGGCCAAACCCAACCCCTGAAAAACAGCCCCAAACCATAATCCCCTCTCCACCAAATTTGACACTTGGCACAATGCAGTCAGAAAAGTACCATCCTCCTAGCAACTGCCAAACCCAGAAACGTCTATCGGATTGCCAGACAGAGAAGCGTGATTCGTCACTCCAGAGAACACGTCTTCACTTCTCTAGAGTCCAGTGTGCTTTACACCACTGCATCCAACGCTTTGCATTGCACTTGGTGATATAAGGCTTGGATGCAGCTGCTTGGCCATGGAAACCCATTACATGACCTCTCTACTCACTGTTGTTGTGCTAATCTGAAGGCCACATGAGGTTTGGAGGTCTTTAGCTATTGACTCTGCAGACAGTTGGTGACTTCTGAGCACTGTCTGCTTCAGCATGTGCTGACCCTGGTCTGTCATCTTATGTGGCCTACCACTTTGTGACTATGTTGCTGTTGTTCCCAGTTGTTTCCACTTTGTTATTATACCACTAACAGTTGAGCGTGGAATATTTAGTAGCTTGGAAATTTCACGGATGTACGTACTGCACTGGTGGCAACCTATCCTGGTACCACACTTGAATTCACTGAGCTCCTGAGAGCGACCCATTCTTTCACAAATGTTTGTAGATGCAGTCTGCATGCCTACGTGCTTGATTTTATACACCTGTGACCATGGAGGTGATTGGAACACCTGAATCCAATGATGTGGAGGGGTATCCCAATACTTTTGGGCTCAAGATTGGCTAGGTGGACTGCAAAACTGTCATGTACCTGGTCGGAGGCTGAGGTGATGAGAGGGGTCCCCTTGCGACTGAGTGCAGAGCACGCCTGAAAGTGGGAACAGGGATTGCTGCGCCCAAAGAAGCATGGGTTGCCTGTTTTACAGTAGCCTGATGAGCAGAGTGGAGGAGGCACTTGAAATGGACTTGACCTTGCAGCAGGGCAGAAGACACTCAAGATGGGCAGGTGCAGTCTTGCTTGTGCTGGGTTACCAGCAGGACAGGTGGAACTCCAGATGCTTAGGCGGATCGTGACAGAAGAGCAGAACAGGGGGTGGAGCCAGGAACCAGAGCCAGGAATCATGCACAGAAGATCAGTCAGGAATAGAAGCAAGCATGGTCACAGATCTAGCCGAGATCGTACACAGGAGCAAGGCAGTAAGCGAAGTCCGTATAACAGGCCGGGGTCAAACAAGGAGGCAGACAGTAGCAGAGTCCAAATAAACAAGCTGGGGTCAGAGCCAGGAGAAGAGCCAAGTGTCAGGGCTCTGTCCTCGGCAGTCCATGCCAGTACCTGGCATGGCCGCATAAGTTCACATCAGCTCAAATTTGGCACCAAACGGCCTTTATAAGGAAGCCCTGCACTACTCTCAGGTGCTGGTTGATCTCTGGCTCCCTAGTACCTTCGTTCTCTTGCTGTCCTGACTTGTGATTTCCTGTTAACAACTCGGCTTGCTCCTGGACCTTTGTGCTCTGTTTAACCCCGACCTAACCCCAGGTTTGTCTAACGGATCTTCTCTCCTGCTTTCTATGTATGACCTCGGCTATCCCTTTTTGACTACGTCTGCTCCGATCCCCACCTGGCACCCGACCTTGGCTCGAACTGGTTATCCTGTGATCCTCTGTTCTTTGGAAGACCTGCATACCTCGCACAGGTGCTCCCTGCCTGCAGACCCCATCTCAGTGCATCAGCCGTGCTCCTGGGTGGACCACCAAACAAGCACTCCCACAGGTGACCTGTGCTACTCTGGGCCTGACTCCTGCTCTCCCACCTTCAGGGGAGTCTGGAACTTAGGTGCAAGGGAAGCCCTCTCTCCATTGGCCTCTGTCACCAGGTATGTGATAGTATCAACTGGCCAATATATCTGAGGCCGGGAGAGGTGCTTCCGCACTAGAGGCCATATGCCAACAGATGACGGCCCTTACGCAAGCAGTTAAAAATCTGCAGGAAGGATACTTCCAGCTGGAAGGACGCCTTCATTTGCTTACTACTTCCGCGACTTCTGCTGAGTCCCTTGGTTAGTCTGAGCCCTATAGTTGCACCAGCCAGTCTGCCTCCTACCGCTACACCTGCTGTGGTACTACACCTTCAGAGCCCAGGGTCCCCATCCCTGAACGCTTCCTAGGTGACCGACGCAAATTCTGAGTCTATAAAAACGCCTGCGAGCTGTATTTTGCATTGCAACCAAGGATCTTCTCACTAGAGGCAGTTAAAGTGGTTAAACCGCAATCATGGGCACACAGCCTACTAGAACAAAAGAATCCCACACTCAACTCCATGATCACATTTTTCGAAGCCATGGCAGCTCTCTATGATGATCCCCAGAGGACCTCCACTGCTGAGTCCGCCCTGCATGCTTTACAACAAGGCCGATGGCCTGTGGAGGACTACATTGTGGAATTCCGCAAATTGTCAGCCGACACGAAGCTGCACTAAAATACCAGTTCCGTCTGCGCCTGTCCGAATCCCTTAAGGATGAACTAGCTAGGGTGGAAACTCCCTCCTCCCTGGAGGACCTGATCCAGCTCGCTACCCAATTAGATCGACGGCTACAGGAAAGACGTTCCAAACGTACCCAGTCTTTTCTTTTTTTTTTAAATATTTATTGATTTTTAAAATATATAAATTGTACAAACATACTCTTTTAAAACATTGATATTGACACAATTTCAATACCTTTAACATATCAACTTTTTACGCCCCCCAGCCCCCCCATCCTCCTACCTAAAAAAAAAAAAAAAAACACACCCATCCCCGACCCACTCCCCACTCCCCCTGCTGTGCATTTTCTTGTTCCTTTCTGGAGATCCTCATCCTCAAAAGACAAGAAGAAAGTGTAACCATATTTTTTTTTTTTATATTAGTCCCCCATAAACTCTATATTTAACTTTATTTGACTTTTTAAATTCCTCCCATTTATTCCATCTTATATGATACCTCTCCATCTTATCTTCCTTTATATGGTAAAGTTCCTACATTTTACATATTTGATCCACTCTTTCAACCCAATGTTTTATATTTTTGGCACCTCCTGTCTCCTCCAGAACTTGTATATTAAACCCTTTGTTACATTCAAATAATACAATACACCAGATTTTTTATATATTTTTGACTGAAAGCTTGGTACTGTGAAAAAGGCAAGTCTCTGGGTCTAATATAATGTCAACCTCTGTAATTTTCTGAATCAAGTTCACTATTTTCTCCCAATACTCCTGTATTTTCGGACACTCCCACCATATGTGATACATAATGCCTCTACCTCCACATCCCCGCCAACACAAAGGTGAATTATCTCCGCTCAATCTATGTGCCATACTCCGTGTAATATACCATCTTGCCATACACTTGCAGTTCATTTCCACCTCCTGCATATTTACATTTTCATGGATTAATCTATACATTTTCCTCTGTTTTTTCACATCTATTATTACCCCTATATCCCTTTCCCATTTTTATCTATATGGTGGCCTTATATCTGTGTTTATTTCAGTGAGAATCTAATATATTTTTAAAAGTTCTGTGTTTGCCATCTCCCCGTGTGTCTAATAAACGCTCAAAGGGATTCCAATCCTCCCTTGTTCTTAGAGGTTTTGGAAGCTTCCCTATAAAGTGTTTTAATTGAAAATACCGCCACTCATCCATTCTCATGAAAACTGCTCTCTTTTTTTTCAATTCCTTAAGTGAACCCATTTCCTCCCCCACTCTTATATCCCTTAATTGTGCATCCTCCTTCTTAATCCACTTCTCTGTGATACCTTCTTTACCTAGGGGAAAACACTCTGTGGAACCTAAAGGCATTAACAGTGAATTAAATTCCCATCCCATCTGTCTGTGCAATATATCCCAAACTCTTAAAACATTTAATGTGAACGAACGTGTACTATCTGCTAATCTTCAATATTGTGTGGGTAACCATACAATTCTGCTTAAATTGGTATTAATATATTTTAAATTTTAACCCAGCTTTTCCCTTTTGCATTATGTGTCCAGTCATAAATTCTCGCCATTATTACTGAGTTATAATATCTTTTCAAATCTGGTACTCCCAGTCTGCCTTTCTCTTTATTTCTACATAAAATTTCATGACTTATTCTTGGTTTTTTATTCCTCCAAATATATTTTCTTATCATTTTTTTAATTATTCTGAAGTATACTTCTGGTAGTTTAATTGGTATCATTTGAAATTTATATAAAATTTTTTGGAACAATCACCATTTTTATTAGATTTATATGACCTATCCATGATGATTCCCCCTCCTAATTTCCTTAGTTCAGCCTTGATCTCATTTAACAATGGGATATTGTTTAATTTATATAAGTTCTTGGAGGAAACAGTTAATTTTATTCCTAGATATTTTAATTCTTTTTCTCTCCACACGAAGGGAAATTCCTCTTGTAACCTATTTTTCTCTCTGTTTGGAAGGTTTATATTTACGATCTCTGTTTTTGTTGGATTCATTTTTAAATGTCATATCTCCCCATACTCTTTAAGTGAAAAATTTAATTTGGCAATGTTATCCTAGGGTTCCCCACATAAAACAACATATCATCCGCATAAGCTGCCACGTTATGCTCTGTGTCTCCTATCCATATTCCCTTTATATCCGTATTATTCCTTATTGTAGACAATAGAGACTCTAGTGACAAAACATATAAAAGTGGAGACAGAGGGCATCCCTGTCTTGTTCCATTTAGCATCCCGAAATACTCTGATAGATCCCCATTTACCATGATTGCTGCAGAGGGTAAACTATATAACTTCCTTATCTATTCTCTCATTCTGTCTCCTATCCCCAAAACTTCCAGTTTATCCATCATATATCCCCAATCTACACTATCAAATGCCTTTTCAGTATCAATCGAAAGCACCGCCATAGGGGTTTTCTCTTTTCTGCTTTTTTTATAAGAAACAAAGATCTCAATCCGTTATCTCTACCCTCTCTTCCTGGAACAAAGCCTACTATGTGTATCCATTTCGGCATTAGGTCTTTCAACCTATTTGCCAGAACTTTTGCGTATAATTTAGTATCTGTGTTCAGTAAAGAAATCAGTCTATAAATTGAGCATTGAGTGACATCCTTACCTTGTTTATGAATTAGAACTACATGTGCTTGTAGGGATTCCCGCCTCATTGCCATCTCCCCCCCCCAATGCATTCATATACAGTTGCAAGAAAAAGTATGTGAACCCCTTGGGATTACTTATCATTTTAATTGCACATAACATGTAAACATTCACAGTGCAGGGAGGAAAAAATATGTGAACCTTTGGACTTAATAACTGGTCGACCCTCCTTTACCACTCCTCTTCACAAAACTGTTTCAACAAAACAATGGCTGCAACAGCACAGAATACGCCTTCTGGAGTGGCCCAGTCAGAGTCCTGACCTCAACCCGATTGAAATGCTGTGGCATGACCTTATGAGAGCGATTCACATCAGACATCCCAAGAATATTGCTACAGTGAAACAGTTTTGTGAAGAGGAATGGTCCAAAATTACTCCAGATCATTGTGCAGGTCTGATCTGCAACTACAGGAAACGTTTGGTTGAGGTTATTGCTGCCAAAGGAGGGTCAACCAGTATTAAGTCCAAAGGTTCACATACTTTTTCCTCCCTGCACTGTGAATGTTTACATGTTATGTGC